AAACTCATGTATCTTATGTCTCTTTATGGATTGCTCTTTCCAGAAAGTTCTCCTCTGCCTTCCATCAAGGAAACCCCCAGCCCCTGTGAAGTGCCCTGACCCTCTGCAGATCCTCAATCCTCTTATGCCTCTATGTTTCTTACGTTTCTTTACCACTAGCACTATACCTGGGAAGCCCCCATCCAATACCCACCCCTTGTCTTTTCAGTCTTCTTGCTCCGAGACCCACCACCCCCAAGGACACCCCCCAGCCCCCTGCAGCCCTCTCACATGGTGACCTTTCAGGTCCCAGCCCCTCTTCTTGGAGGTGGACCAGGTATCTCCCTCTTGCTCATTGCTCTTTCCAGAAAGTTCTCCTCTGCCTTCCATCAAGGAAACCCCCAGCATCTGTGAAGTGCCCCAACCCTCTGCAGATCCTCAATCCACTGACTAGTGTGCATTCACCATCTCCTTCCCCAATCTCCACTTTCCTCTCTACCCAGCTTAGATTCCCAGAGCTTCTGTGACTTGCCTTTTGCATCTCCTTGTCCCTGTCTCCTTCCAGGTCACTCTCCTGACCACCCCTATCCAATTCCATCTCCTCACACCTGTTCTGGGGCGCCTGAATGCGGCTGGAGAAAAAACACACCACCCTGGGTACGAGTTTTCTCATACCTGTGAATCACTGCCACCACCCTCAAGTTCCATCTCAGCTTCCGGCCACTGGACCACCTGGCGATGGTCAGCCTGCTTCCCACTTACCTCGAGAGCCATCTCACGTGTCTCTTCTTCCTCTCTTCCTTCCTCTTCCCTACCTTCCCGTCTCCTCTTCCATCCTCTAAACTCCAACTCTTCCTCACTCTCAGCAGATGACCCCGCTTCTCATCCCCACCCCGCCCCTTCAGGAAATGTCAGAAAGCAAGACCCCGTGCCCCCCCTTTTCTTAAGAACTGTTTCCCTTCTCTCCTGCCTTCCAGGTTTTTCCTCTTCTGTGTCGAGACATCCCCATCAGCTTGTGAAACACTGCAATCTCCTCCAGGGGGTATATTAAAGCATCTCTGAGCTGCTCTAGCTCTTCAAGCCCCATTTCTCTGCTCCCTGTAATAGTCAGCCTTTGCACGAAGCTGTCTGCACTCACCATTTCTCTTTCATCAATTCTCACTATCTTTTGAGCCCACCTGAGTTAAGGAGATTTACCCACCAGACCAAAGAAAGTTCTTTTGTTTCAGTCATGCTGACTTCCATCTTCCCAAGCCCAGTGGTCTGTTTTTGGTCCTTCTTGTTATTCAGCTGGTCTCCTTCTCCTTTCTGCATCTTCTTTCCTGATCTCGCCTGACATCACACCCTTCTGGTTCCGCTCCCGGCTTATCCTGGTCCTTCCCGGTGTCCTGTGAGTTGTCTCCTTGCTGTCTGTGCCCTCTCAGTATTGCGGTGCCCCGGCCCTGTGTCCTCTGCTTTCCACTCTTTGCACTCACACGCAAGGCTTCCATCCATTCTCTTAACTTTATATGATATCTGTATACAGAACTCCAAAATTTTGCCTCGGGTCTGACATCACTCCTGAAATTCCAGTTTCCCGCTTCTGCTTTATTCTCTTTTCTGTTGTGTTCCGCAGGCATCTCGAACTCAGCACGCCCCAGATGGCACTATTGATCTCACCTCCCAAAGCCCCTCCCTCTCCACTGGCCCCTGTCTCAGTGAATGGCATCTCCAGCCCCCCTTGTTCACACCAGCAGCATCGAGGTCAGGTTTGTCTCTTCCACACCCGCCTGCAATTCAGGAGACCCAGATTCCATCTCTGAGTTGGGAAGATCCCCTGGAGAAGAAAATAGCAACCCACTCCAGTATTTTTGCTGGACGAATCCTATGGACAGGGAAGCCTGGTGGGCTACAGTCACATGGGGTTGCAAAGAGTCAGACATGACTGAGTAACACACACGCACACACACACACGCTTCCACACCCAGTAGCCCAGGCATCAGCAGACCCTCCCACCATTGATGCCAGACCAGCCCCTAGCTCGCCATTAACCCCGACTCAGGCCAGGGTCATCTCTCCTTGACTCTAGAGGAAAAGCTCCTTACCTCGTCTCCTTGTTGCTGTTTGAATCTCCCCAGTCTGCCCTGGCACCCACAAGGTGTCCTGTTTCCTGATTGCCTCCTGCTCACTCCCCTTCCGTCACAGAGACTTTCCCTTCCCCTTACAGCAGCCCAGACTTCTCCCACCCCAGGACTGTCATCTCTGCTCCTCTCTTGGCTTGGAAACCCCAGCCTGTGTCTTCAGCGTCTGGCTTCTCGCCATCGGCCAGGTCCCTGCTTGGCCAACCACATGCCGTGGGACAGCAACTCTCCACCTGCATTTCTCAACTCTCTTACTTTGCTTTAGGGAACTTATCAATCGGCCGCATCTTTTTACTGAGTTCAAGTTGATTTGCAATGTTTCAGGTGTACTGCAAAGTGATTCAGTTTTTTATCTTTATATATATATATACTATTTCAGGTTCTTTTCCATTATGTTATTACAAGTTATCCCATTATAGATTATTACAGTGTAGTTCCTTGTGCTGTATAGTAAAGTGAAAGTTGCTCAGTCGTGTCCGACTCTTTGCGACCCCACGGACTATATAGTCCATGGGATTCTCCAGCCAGAATACTGGAGTGGGTAGCCATTCCCTTCTCCAGGGGATCTTGCCAATCCAGGGATCAAACCCAGATCTCCTGCATTGAAGGCAGATTCTTTACCACTGAGCCACCAGGGAAGCCAAGAATACTGGAGTGGGTGGCCTGTCCCTTCTCCAGCGGATCTTCCTGACCCAGGAATCGAACCGGGGTCTCCTGCGTTGCAGGCAGATTCTTTTCCAGCTGAGCAGTCGGGGCTGCTCTATGGTAGGCCCTCGTTTATTTTATAAATAGCGATGTGAACCTTTAATCCCAGACTGCCAATTTACCCCTTCCCTGCTTTTCCCTTCGGTAGCCGTAAGTTTGTGTTCCGTGGCTGTGAGTTTTTACTGTTTTTCAGATGAGTTTATTTGCATCAGTTTTTTCGTTTCCACACATAGGTGACACCAAGTGATATTGGTCTTTCTCTGTCTGACTTGACTTAGTATGAGATTCTCTAGGTGCATCTATGTTGCTGCAGATCACATCCCTTTTTATGGCTGAGCAGTACTCCATTGCATCGTTGTACACGATTACCACATCTTCTTTGTCCATCCACCTGTCGATGGACACTGAGATTGCTTCCATGTCTCGGCTGTTGTAAACAGTGCTGCTCTGAACCTCAGGTGCAGGTATCTTTTCAAATTAGAGTTTTTATGTTTTCAGTATGTCGCATTGTAGTATTGAGTTTTCACTTGTTTACTGTTTGACTTTGGGTGGCCCATTAACTTCATAAGCTCAGATTCTTCCTCTGTAAAATAGAGGTAAATAATAGTATCCAACCCATGAAACTGTTGAGAAAATCTTGTCGTGGAGTAAATAGTAAGTGTTAGGTAATAGCTTTTAAAATAGCATACTTGTAATTTTGGCTTTATCCTACCAGTCAAATAGAGCAATAATGAGAATTACATAAAAGAAAGACACAAATATTGAAATGAATATAAATTCTATTCTTGGTTAGCTTTCATCTGATTATGTTTTTACTATGATTCCTTATAGAGAATTGAGTCCCTAAGACAAGTCAGGGAAAAAAAGCCAAAAGTGTTGAAAATGGTTGTGTCTGTGAAGCAGGAGTTAAGAGTGGGGCAGATGTCTGCTTTTCCTTGATAATGCCAGTACTATTTGACATCTTGGTTTGATAAGACTGAGCTTGAATTTAAAAAGAAAAAAAAACTGAAAGGGAAAAGAAATACTGTGGCATCTTAACAGGAGTTCTCAGGGGAGGAGGAGAGAGTGGAACTGTTGGTTATTTTTATTTTCGTCTTTGTGCTTTCTAAATACAAAATGATCCATGATGTACTTATTTAGTTTTCATAATGAAAAATGGTGTATATGCTTTTCCTATAGTAACCAAATGTTGGAAGGTGAATGGAGAATTAATTGATAGGAGAAAGAAATGGCAACCCACTCCAGTTTTCCTGCCTGGAGAATTCTATGGACAGAGGAGCCTGGCAGTCCATGGGGGTCGCAAAGAGTCAGAAACGACTGAGTGACTAAGCACATTTTTAATATGCTCTAATAATCCCGGGGGCAAGTCAGAGAACACAGCACCCTAGGTGTGACTTCTCAGCACAGTCATGCTGAAGGCCTTGAGCTGGTGGAGACGGAGGCATTTGTGGCACGGAAGAGGCTGAAAAGAGTGTAAGGGAGATAAACCAGAAGGGACAGTGGTCCTCGGCATTCTGATCGCTAATGGCTTGGTCTCAAGAACAAAAGAGTAAAGACTCTGGAAAACTTTAAAGTTGTTGAAAAGAGGATCAGACAGAGCTGGAGCCAGGCAGGCAAAACGTGGTTTCAGGGTCATTCTGAGCATCCTATGTGCATGCGTGCTAAGTCGCTTCAGTCTTGTCCAACTCTTTGGGATCCTATGGACTATAGCCCGCCAAGCTCCCCTATCCATGGGATTCTCCAGGCAAGAATACTGGAGTGGGTTGTCATACCCTTCTCCAGGGGATCTTCCCAACCCAGGGATGAAACCCGTGTCTCTTATGTCTCCTGCATTAGCAGGAGGGTTCTTACCACTCACCACCTGGGAAGCGCCTCTGAGCATCCTGTTTTCATTTAAATACAATCTTCAGCCAAAGCAGAGTTGCAAAGGGATCACTTATTCCACACCCAGAGAGGAAACCAGCGTTCAGGGCAGGCCCTGCCGGCATCAGGCTGGCTGGAGGAAGCCGGAGGTGGGTCTCAGTGAACACTCCTCTCTGTTAACCTGGGTGACAGAAGAGCAGAGATCTGAGATCTCCCCTGACAGACTGGAGAAATGTTTCGCAAATTCGAATGCTCTGAACACCCAGTGTCAGGAGGTGAGGACTCCCCGTGCCTTCCCCACGTGATGACTGCGCGCTGTGCTGTCTGTTGCAGGACGGATGGTCACAGTATCACTTCGTAGCCTCATCTTCAACCATCGAGAGGGATCGGCAAAGACCCTACTCCTCATCCCGCACGCCCTCCATCTCCCCCGTGCGCGTGTCCCCCAACAACCGCTCAGGTAAGAGGGTCCTGGGGCCAGCCATCTACTTCCCTTGGATCCAAGTCCCTCTCCCTGGCCCCTTAACTGACCCCGCAGACCAGAGGGCCATCCCGACAGGGACATTTGCTAGAAATGTCAAATGCATCTGTTTTCTTTCTAGAACAGGGGTGACTCTGTGTTCCATGTGCACAAACTCAGAACAGACATCTTTCTGATAGAGTTCTACAAATCTCTAAGCGGTATCATAGGCATGAAATACACATCCTGGACCTGCATGCAGGGAGGAATAAGAATAAATAGAACCACTGAGTGTTTGCAGGTCAGGGTTTTCCATAGACATTTTTCCAACTTCAGGTAGTTTAAGTTTCATTTTATTGATTGTAATTGGGATACAAAGTAGGGGAAAGAGGGTGTGCTCTTCCCTCCTTGAGACTGACATGCATTGGAGAGCTATCGTTGCAGCTTTCATTACTGTTCTATACCTGATTTGCTTTTTATTATTACCTGTAAACCAGCAGATAAGTCATTTGTATATTCATATTATAACCAACCATGACTTTTAAATCATTCAATTTAATTTTTTCTAATTTTATTTCATTCTTTTACAAAAATTTTTAATGAAGTATAGTTGGTATGCAACATTATATAAGTTATGGGTGTACAATATAGTGATTCACAATTTTTAAACATTATGCTCCATTTACAGTGTTACAATGTACAATGTACAATATTAGCTGTATTCCCTGTTGTACAATATATCCTTCTAGCTCATTTTATACAAAATAATTTATACCTTCTAACCCCCTACTTCTATATTGCCCCTGCCTTTGTCTCATTTTTATTGCTTAACTTGGGAACTAGCTTTTCTTATCTACTTGTAAAGACACCTTATTTTTAAACCCTTTTTCAGTCACTTTATGTAATGCCAAAGATTAAAGAACTCATTGAAGAAAATATGAACATATTGCTTAGTATATAAGTGGCATGGCTTTTATTATTGGTTTATTCTAGAATGCAATGAATAATTGTACTCACACATGCAGGTATATAAGCCTTTATTTAACAAAAGGTTTTCCTTGCCCTTCGCTGCCCTCCTCCTGCCAAGGAAACTATATTTTCTGGAACCACATCTCAAAGGACACAGTACAAAGTACCCTCAGCAGGGCGTCCCCTCTGCCCTTGAGCACGTTTGTCATGAAACTTTACATCATGCTTTACTATCAGAGCAGTGGGGGAAATCAGAAATGAATGGGGACTATTTGATTGAAATAAATTACCTTCTGCCAGCCCCTTGAAAGCTTTTATTTTTAGTGCTGTGTTATTGCTTGTAACATTTAGCTTCACACTGAACAAGAATTAGGAAACCCTGTGTAACTCAAGAAAGTGCCACTTGCCTCAGAAGCATGGCGGCGGCCTTTTACACATTGTATCTTCATAATTCTTAAAAAGATAAGGAGATCAAACCAGCCAATCCTAACTCAGGAAATCAACCCTAAATATTCACTGGAAGGACTGATGCTGAAGCTGAAGCTCCAGTCCTTTGGCCACCTGATGCGATGAGCTGACTCATCGGTAAAGACCCTGATGCTGGGAAAGATTGAGGGCAGGAGGAGAAGGGATGACAGAGGATGAGATGGTGAGATGGCATCACTGACTCGATGGACATGAGTTTGAGCAAGCTCCAGAAGACAGTGATGGATAGGGAAGCCTAGCGTGCTGCAGTCCATCGGGTCACAAAGAGTCAGACATGACCAAGCAACTGAACACCAACAAGAAGATAAACAGCAGTGAGCCTGGGAAGCTCAAGGGTGGTGTCTTTCTAAAAGCTCTAATTTTGAAGAATCAGTCCGTGTTAGGAAGATGGAGTCATCATAAATTGGAAGGTGCCCAGGAAGAGAAGCACTGCCTTTCAGGATGCCAGCATCCCAGGGATGCAGCTAGAGTCCCGCCTGGTAGTCCCCTGGCACAGCACATCGAAGGCACCCAATAAACACGCATGGGCGTGATTTGGTTTTTCCAAGAGTATCATCCTGGTTTACCGGAGACTCGGACCACTGTGTGTGAGGTCTCAGGAGATAATTACACACTTGACATAGTTTCATAAAGCCCACCATCTGTGCAATATTAGATTCTCATTTTAAAAGCTTCGTTCAAGAGGCTCCAAAATATTGTCCCTTCGTGATCGTTGGCAGTGACTCATAAAAGGCCAGTCTTTATGCAGTAGACCTGGGATCAGAGGCGCAAGGGCAGGAAGGGACTCTCCCAGGAGAGGAAGATGGAGAGAGAAGAGAGGACAGAGGGCAGAGGTGGAAGGGGTGAGTGAGACTCAGTAGCCTGGGTGCTGAGGATGTGTAGAAACTGGACCCAGAGCCCGGTTGAGTTATGTGGAATAGTTGCAAATTTCTTCCCTGGTTTCCCATTGGATTTACACCCAGAGATTCTGGCCCAACTCACTGGGGGGGAGGGTCCAGGTGTACCATCCGTGTATTTTTTAGTATTTCAGGTAATTAATTCTGATGAGTAGCCAGGATTGGAAACCTCTAAGGGTTTCAAGAGCTGAGCAGTGAGCCTCGATTTTATTTGACAGGTCTGAGAGGTGGGTAGGGGGCCTTTCAGGAAAGGATGGGTAAAGGCCCCTTTTGTTAACTTCCCATCCCTGGGCTGAGACATCCACTGATCCTCTCCCTCTTATCTATTCTGGCTTTATTTCCTGACCTGACGAAGAGCTCCTCAAGTTTAGAAAGTGGGCCATGACTCGTGTTTCTGTCCCCGGTGTCTGGCATGGGGCTTTGTCCATAAAAGAAACCAAGTTTGATGAAATCAATCAAGTGACAGGGAACAGACAGGCCCAGTGGCCTGGACCTGAGGGACCCTGCAAAGGATGTAGAATCAAAAGCAGGAGGGTAAACTGAGGCTTGACTGGGGAGGGGCTTGGACACCGTAAGAGAAAGAGAGATTTCTCCTAAAAGTCAGAGCTCCCCAAAGATTCCCTGGCCTTAATAATCACCAAGTGTACTTACTAAATGTGGATTCCTAGGCCCATATACTGAAAATTCAGATTAGAAATTTCAGGGATCTGGTTTTAGGATCCCCAGGTTCTCAGGTGAATCTCAAGGTTAAACAAGTTTATGAAGTGCTGCCCTCAGGCGTGGAAGATGGGGCGGACTCCATGCCTGCACTCTAGTGAGATGCAGGTGACTAAGCTTGGGATTCGAGTGGCCTCACTGAAGCGCATGGAGACCAATCTGAGGTCAGCCTGTAAGATGTGCACACAATGGCTGCCTTAGCACCGGCACACTCACTTAACCTCCACTTCTCCACATTGCTTAGTTGCTCCCACTCCATCTAATCTTTTTGAAACACAAAACTTATTTTTGTTTGTTTCCCTTAATCCAAGTAAATCTTTTCCTCTGTTCTGGGACCAGTTTGTTAAACCCAGGGAAGTCTAATTACAACCTGTCATTTTAGAAATGAAGACCCAAAGGGTTGACAGGGTTCAGTTTCCAGGTTTGACAGGCAGATAATATCAAGGGTGCAGAGTTTGTGTGCAAGATTATTGAGGGCATTTGAAATGGAGCTAGGACACTCATCAGAAGACAGGCGCCCTCCTCATACCATGCCCCCGGCCACCTCTGCAGGTTGATGGAGAGGATCTTGGAGGTTGGGCTACATTGGCCCCACAGATAGCCTCTGCCTTCCTTTACAGCCATTTTTGTGTGACTCAGAATTTAAGCAAAACTCATCTGATTTAATCAGAGATTCTTCACTGTCAGTCATCACTCTTCTGAAACACATCTAACTTTTTTAAAGGAAGGAAGAAGAAAGGAAAGGAGAGAAAGGGAAAGAAAAGAGAAAAGAAAGAAAAAGAAACCAAGACGGATCTCATTTTTAAAACTGGCCCATACGCCTTGAGCAGGTCACAGCCCCACGAGGGTGTCTCTCTTGGGAAGATGCTCCCAGGATATAGTATTTAGTTTCCTGCCTCCAAGTTGCATGGCCCCTTAACTTGAAAGCACTGCGTGACGTGGAGGAAGGGAAGGGGGAAAGAGAAGAGTCAAAAGAACAAAAATAAAAGTCAATTGACAGGTCCGTGTACACATACTGCCCTGTGCTGCGCCCAGTGCCCTTATGACTTCACGTGTTCGTGTGAGAAGCTGCACGTGCTGTGGGATGACACAAAGAAAGTGACCCTTTCGATTTCTTTATGTAGCAAGTGCCCCAGCATCACCTCGGGAAATGATCAGCCTCAAAGAAAGGAAAACAGACTATGAGTCCACCGGCAGCAACGCCACTTACCACGGAACTAAAGGGGAACACACTTCCAGGAAAGACACCATGACAGGTGAGCCCAACTGTGCATGTTTGCTCCGAGGATCTGGTGATGGGACTCGGGGCAGGGCAGAGGGTGGGGACGTCAGGCTTCAGCGGCTCGGCAGGACGTGAGAGCTCGACAGCCAGGGTTCCCAGGGACTGGCGATGAGATGAAGCTGGGGGTATAAACACAGAGCATCTTGTTCCTGGAGAAGCTGGGAAGATCCTCAGTCTTTCTTTCCCTCCCCTTTTCCTTCTCACTTTGCCAGATCATGCTCCTGTTTGTTGTCTAGTCACTAAGCTGTGTCTGAGTCTTTGGAAACCCCATGGACTGTACAGTCCACCAGGCTCCTCTGTCCATGGGATTTCCCGGGCAGGAATACTGGAGTGGGTTGCCGTTACCTTCTCCATTGCCCAGCTCATGATATTCTCTCAAATTAGAAAAGGAGGTCACCATAGATTTCTTCCCAGTTAGCATAACCCAAGATGGTGGTCAAGCTTTGCCCATTAGGAGTGGGGAAGAGAGAGAGGATGGGGAAAGGTGGGGAGGGGAGGTGGGAGGGGAAGGGACAGGAGAGAAGCGACAGAAGAGGAACTCCGGGAAACCCCAGAACTGCTGTTGAGACATTTTCCCCTCTTGACACGAAAGCAACCTCTTAACATGGCGAGAACTCCCAAGAAGGCTCGTGAGAACCGCCGACCTTTTTCCCTTCAGGAGGCATTGATCTTTCATGCCCTTCATTCTTCACTGCCCCAGTCACACCCGTTGGCTCATCAGCTGGGACTCTGCAGAGGCCGAAATTACTTACCATCCAACCAGCCCACTTGGGCCAGCCTGCCTAGTGACCAGCCTTGACCTCAGCCCTCCTCCTATTCTGTACAGTTTCCTTGGCTGGGGCTCCATGTCCATGTCCATCATCCCTGGCAGCCTCCCCGCACACCTCCCTCCCCCCCCCCGCCAGGGTCACCCCTCCTCTGGGAGCAAGACTTGCCATATTGATGTGTGTGTGTGTGTGTGTGTGTGTGTGTGTGTGTGTGTGTGGCAGGGGTAGGGAGTGGGGATATGCCTTGAAAGCAGAGCTGCTGGAACCATCGGGATCTCTTCTAAACCAGGATCCCACACCCTTTGCCAAGCGGACGTGGAGGTGGGCCCCTCCTGAAAACAGACCATAAGGACTTCAGAACAGGTCAGATTAGGGCGTTCATAAAACTGGGTACCAGGGTGCAGTCCTAAACAGACACTGAGCCCTCCTTATCAGAAGACTCTGAAGAGTTTGAGCTGCGTTTCCCTGATACTGTTTAGGTGTAGAGCTGCAGGGAAGCAGAACAGACAAATTGGATGATTTATTAACTTGTCTTCTGGATCCAGGGCGTCTAAGATGAATTTTTCTAATGGGAACTGTATTTACCCCAGAGGCAGTGTTTTTCCATAGCAACTCTACCCAGCTGCCATATGAAAAGCATCATAAACAGATGCCCGTGGTCCTCAGCTCCGTGCCCTGCCTCTGTGTACACCACCAGGAAACACCTCACCCTCACGCCTGAAACATCTCCTGAATGGGGGAACTGAACGCATTGCAGAGGGCATACCTTTTTTTTTTGGCCATGATATGTGAGATCTTACTTTCCCCCCTAGAGATAGAACCTGTACCCCCTGCAGTGGAAGCATGGAGTCTTACCCACTGGACCACCAGGGAAGTCCAGTGTAGGCGGTACTTTTGGTTCTCATTCTCTGGTTCATTTATCCCCAGAAGTGTTACCCCTGCTGTAGATGAGCATAAACAAAAGAGTTTGTGAATCTGAATGCTGAGCAGCTGAGAATCTATTCTGTACTGATTACTCCAGAGCAGAGTAAAGTTCACCTGAGCCTTCTTTTTTTTTATTATTATTGCCCCAGGTAGCCACATCACCATCAGGCAGGCATGAAAAATTGAGACCATAATTATGAGAATAATTGTGATATCGACTGCTTTGTTGTTATTTAAGTTGACCTTTTCTCTTTAACTCTCTCACCCAGTAGAATCACTCAAAAGGTTTTTCAGTGTGGGTGTGTTTTCACTGAAATAGTTCCAGTGGTACATGATCATTTCCTGCAAACATCAGAGAATAAGAAATAAAATCTAACATATTTCTAGATGTTTAATCTTCCTAGAAAATGGCAGGAACCTTGAAAACTCCAGTGTTGAGATAAATGTCATTTTTCAAACTTATTTAGAGGCTTGAACACTTTTCTCTATACTTAAAAACGCAGTTCAACACTCTACTATCAGTCTTGCAGCAGGCCTAGAAGTACATGAGATCATCATTGAATAATATATTTATACAAGAAGGTTCCCTTTAAGCCAACAAGTCCTGCGTAAAAGTTAGTTGTCATCACTGTGACATTGATGGTGATTGTGGGGGTGATGATGGGCCCACTGGTGCTGGCGATAGAGGAGGTGGGGGTATTAGGAGTAAGGGTGTTGGTGATCATGTTGGTGGTGGTGAGATTGGAGGGTGTGTTTGTCCTCTTTTATGGGCTTCCCTGGCAGCTCAGCTGGTAAAAAATCCACCTCCAATGCAGGAGACCCCGGTTCGATTCCTGGGTTGGGAAGATCTGCTGGAGAAGGAATAGGCTACCCACTCCAGCATTCTTGGGCTTCCCTTGTGGCTCAGATGGTAAAGAATCCTCCTGCAATGTGGGAGGACCTGGGTTTGATCCCTGGGTTGGGAAGATCCCCTAGAGAAGGGAAAGGCTACCCACTCCAGTATCCTTTCCTGGAGAATTCCATAGACAGAGGAGCCTGAGAGGCTATAGTCCCTGGGGTCGACACAACTGAGTGACTTTCACTTCACAGGTTGGTATGAACAAGTCCCCAGCCAAGCTGGGTGGGCATAAGCATTCCATGTAGGAATGGAAATGATGAATCGCCAACCTCTGTTTGGATTCCCTTTAGCAAATACCCATCATTTCAGTGTTTACTTGCAGATCAGATTTCTTAGAACTTGCATATCCAATAGAGTAGTTTTTCTTCTTCCCCAGTAAATCTAGGGGGCATTCAAAATTCAGTGCATTAAAAAAATATCTGAAAAGCTGCCGTCTTCCTTATTTCTCAGGCATCAGAAAACATCCTAGACCGTTCCCTCACTTGCTATGGGAAAACCATGGGAAACTTCACCCTCAAAATGCAACATGTAAAAGCTTTAAAGTGAAAAGCAGTTTCTTGCCGGGGTTATCATCCCCTCTCCTGAGCTCTCAGAAATGCAGATCCATCTGGGTTTTTATTCTAGGCTCCCCCTCCCCCACCCCTCTCTGTATTCATTTTCTGGCTTAGGGGGCGTCTCATTTCTCTCCTGTTTATCTGCCACTGAAGGGCCCTCTGAAAGCCAGAGTCAGCTGTTCACTCAGGCATGCAGAACTGTTATAGCTATTTCTCGCGGTCATGATTCCCTGGGAGCATTACGTGTTCAGAAGCACGCATCAGAGGAGAGCTGTGTGATCCCAGCAGCGGCACAGCCTGACTTCAGAATTCACCTGGGGATCTTGCTATCCCGCCTGAGCTTCCCAAATACCTTAGCATCCAATGGTCGATCCCGTCTTGTCAATGTCTCTGTCTCTGTTAGGCCTTTAAAGCCATTCTAATCTTCAGTGTGCTGATTCAGTTGGAAACTGGTGGTGGTGGTGGTTTAGTCGCTAAGTCGTGTCTGACTCTGTGACCCCCTGGACTGTAGCCCGCCAGGCTCCTCTGTCCATGGGGATTCTCCAGGCAAGAACACTGGAGTGGGCTGCCATTTCCTTCTCCAGGGAATCTTCCCGACCCAGGAATCGAACCCAGGTCTTCCGCATTGTAGGCAGATTCTTTACCGACTGAGCAAAATTGGGGTCTCCATAAAAAAAGAAAGGCATTTTCCAACCAGTGTACTCTTTGCTCAGATGCATGAAGGGCAGAGCACCCAGGAGGTACTTGTGCTTCACATGTCTGGAGAGGCCACAAGTTCAATCTCAGCTCCACGGTCTCCTTTAAACAGGTGAAGTGGGCCAAAGAGCAGGAGGGAGGAACTTCCAGTCGAAACATCTGTAGCTCAAAAGCCATGACATAGAGGGAGGCTGAGACTATAAAAATGTACATTCTTCCCCCCCTCCAAAAAAAATGCATTTTATTCTGAGTAACAGGAAAAAAAAATTTCACCTTATCCTTGAAGTGACATTTTCCATCAGCTGATGATAGCTCCAAAGGCAGATTTTTTTTAAGGTTTACTCATTCATTCATTCACTCAGCAAATAAAGCACTCACTCTGTGAGCATGCCCTGAGCCCAGGCACTGTCCCAGCGGCTGGGGAAACCTACAAAAGTGGCAGGGCAGAGGAGCTCTGTCTTCAAGGAGCTTCTTGTCTCCTAGGTAAGGGGAAGTAATACACAAGATGAACAACGGGACAAGCTTGTTAACAAGGTAATAGCAAACGGTGCTGGGTGTGACGGAGAAAATAAATGGGGTCATGAGGCAGAGGGTGTCAAGTGTGCAGGGTTCCTTTAACTAACAAGGTCAGGGAGGAGTCCTTTGAGCTGGAACCTGAATACCAATAAGGAGAGGTAGTCTCTGGGGGATGTGAGTTCCAGGAGAAGGCTCAGGAAGTCTAACATCCTGGATGCAAAATAAACTTGGATGCTCAGGCCGGGAAGGAGGGCCAGGGTAGTCCCCTGAGCCAAGGGAAGAAGGGGAAATGCTCCAGGAAGTCGGGTGGAGTCCAGATCACACAGAGCTTCAGAGGCGGTAATGGCAGCTCGGCTTTTACCACAATCACAGAGAGCAGGGCGTTGCAGCAACATAGTCCAATCTGTCTAACAAGATGATGGCTTAGCTGCTGGGACCAGAGTGGGTGGAGGAGCAGATTAGGCAGAGTGGAAGCCGGGCTGTTGAGGAGGATGCTAGCAGTGGTCCAGGCAAGGGATGGTGGTTGCCATGGTAATGCAAAGACAGGAGGGATGGGCATTCAACCAGCGTCTCTCTGAGTGGCTTTAAAGTGGGAAATGGGCTGTCAGCTCCCACATTCTAAGCAGAATTTCCCAAGAAGAATTTTATTGCACAGCTATTATGTGCTTTTAGTAATAATCATGGGTAGAGTGATAGATTATGCTGACTTAGTGTCTAGAGTGACTGGTGTCCATGAGAGAAGAGATGATGAGATATTCTATTTCATGATCCCATAGATACTGGAAGCAAAAGGTAAGTTTTTCTCGTTACCTGAAGTGTTTTATGGGCTTCTCTGGTGCTTCAGAGATAAAGAAGCCACCTGCCAATGCAGGAGAGGCGGGTTCGATCCCTGGGTTGGGAAGATCCCCTGGAGGAGGAGATGTCCATGAAATGTTGTTCATGGACAGGAATACAGGTATTCAGGTTTCAGCTCAAAGGTCTCCTCTTTGACCCTGTGTCTAGTATTGCCTGGAAATTTACATGGACAGAGCAACCTATAGAGTCCATGGGGTCACGAAATAATTGGGCATGACTTGGTGACTAAACACAGCAAAAGTGTTTTATAGCCTGCTGGCACGCGACAGACAGTGTTTTCTTGAGCTTTCGTAAACTGGGACCTTTTAGCAGCTATGAGGGGGCCTCTTGCCCTGGGCCCTTCGTTGGGGCTGCGGCAGGCGTCTCGAGGGTCCCAGGTGAGGAAGCAGGCAGATGGGCATCTTGCCCAGGTCTTTGGAAGCTGCTGGCAGCTGGAGGAGACCTTTCCTGCCTTTTGTCTCGACCACAGGCTGGTCACAAGCCAGGATGCGGGGCTTCCGTCTCTGCGTGGAACAGGGGTCCAGTGCCGCAGACCTGTGGGGCCAAGGGGGGCGGGACTTCCTGCCTGTCCATCAGACCGCTGAGAAATGAACTGTCTCAGCGATGATCAGGCCCTTCTGTGAGCTCAAATTAGAAACTTCACTCTTGTCATTCTCCAGCTAAAAGCTAAGCGGCCGATCCAGATTCCTGCACGCTTCACTGCAGGTGACAGGCTTTTGTTATCTGCCTGTGTTCACCAGGAAAAAAAAAAAGAGAGAGAGAGACCGCAGCCCTAGCAAGATGACCATCTGTTTGCTGCACCTGCCCTGACCCCATCTCCAAGCTGAATGTTGTTGCAAGAGGCTGACAGGCTGTGGGGATTTTATATTAGTGAATAACTTCTTCTTTCTTAATATCGGTATGTAAAATGAGGTGTTCAGGGCGAAAGAACTTCTTCCATTTAGAATGATCCGTGTGACACCAAGAATGGTCAGGGCGAAACCTGGCCTTGATAACCATCATTCCTGCTTTGAAGTCTTGCATTCTTTGCTAATACTTTTGTTTCCCTTTCAGCTCAAACTACTGGAATTTCGACTTTGTATAGGAATTCATATGGTGCGCCCGCTGAAGACATCAAACATAACCAGGTAAAGGACAGGCAGCATGCTGGTGTTCATTTCTCCCTTCGTCTCCTGTGAAATAGCTTGGAATCATAAAAAAGAAGTTAACTTCTATTTAACATGCATAAAAGGGCTTGCCAGGTGGCATAGTCGGTAAAGAATCTTCCTGCCAGTGCAGGAGGTGCAAGAGACGCAGGTTCGATCCCTGGGTCAGGAAGATCCCCTGGAGGAGGAAATCACAACCCACTCCAATATTCTTGCCTGGAAAATTCCATGGACAGAAGAGCCTGGCAGGATGTAGCCCATGGGATCACAAAGAATCAGACATGACTGGAAAAAAACAGAAAAAGAAAATAACGTCCCCCATTGCTCTCCACTCATGTGTGACACTGTATCCACGTGGGTGTCAACAGAACAGCCTCGAATTTAAAAGCAATCTTTATTTCACTACAACCCCATGCATTATCCGGTGGTAGAAAGCAGATTTTCCTACTGTGATGCAAAACCTGAAAGAAAGCCCCAAGTATACAAGCGTAAGATGCTGGTTACTAGACAGATTGTCTAATTACTAAGCATGGATTAAGGCGCTCCTGTAACCCAGCCAGTTCTCATTCAGAAGAAAGCATTCCTTGCATATGACAGTTTCCAGTGAAATAGACACGTCAAGTTGAATGTGAGCAACTGAATGAAAGGCGTTGTGTTGTGCTTCGCGGCTCAGGCACGTGGGAAAACCAGCAGCATCGGCATCACCTAGGGGTTTGTGGCGAACACAGAAGAGACACCTCTCTGGCCCCATAACCCTCACGCATCCAGGGTCTTCTGCATCAGAGTTGCATTTTAGCTAGGTGTCTAGGTGATTTGCGTGGCTGTGCAAGTTTGAGGAGCCTTGGCTGGTAGACACTTAAGAATCTATCTGTGTTCGTGTATGTGTGTGTGTGTGTTTTATTTAGCAAATATTCCTTGACGGCTCATTTTCTCTGTGGTTCTGTGGGAACTGTAAAAGCAGGAGGGCACCTCCTCTGCTCCTTTATTGATCGGTAACTTCTCCCTTGTCCTGCCCCATTGTGGTCATCACAGAAGGACTGACGGTCTTTATAGCGCTTGGCCATTGGCCGTTATTGTCAGAGCTGGCTTCTGCTGAAGCTCTGCACTCCTGCTTGGTGTCAGGAAGGTTGTACTGGGAAGATACACCTGGAAGCTGCTTGCTTGATCACAGTAAGCAGATGAAAGGAGACATGGAAGGGAAATATGCTGTTTTTGTTAACAGTTCGCACCACGCAAATGATCAAATACAACCAACATACCTCCACAGAGAATGCATCTCATCAACCGATGGCCATCACTGGGCCAGTGAGCAAATTTGATTGCTTCAGCCGCAGCTGCCATCAGCCAACCTAGGTGATTCGTTCACACGAGCTCTCAGAACTGCAGAGCTCAGCTCGAGAAGAGGTTGACATGGGCCTTTGTGAAAATACCGATGAACTGAAGAAGGTAACACTCCAAGATAAGAGACTAAAATGAGCTTCTGCTCCAGCCAAAAAGGTCCACCGTCCAGAGAGAACATAGCAACAGAAAGAAATTTGAAACATGTTGTGAAAAGAAAAAAATGAAAGCTGCAGCCACAATGGAGGAGGGCTACAAGCCTTGTATGTAACTTTCCTAGAAGACCCCCCAAACGTTGGCAGTGCCTCCCCAGCCACTGAGACCAGCAGAGAAAAGTCAGATCGCTTCTTGGTCTCCTTTGTCTACCAGCCTCCCTTCTTTTGACAGTCAACTCAGTGAAGCTAGCACCCCAAGGGGGGACCACCTCCACTCAACCAAGACTGTACCCCTCTCTTGGAGAGGATGTGGACCGTGGAGTCAGCCGGGCATGCATTCAGATCCCAGCCCCACCCCACCCCGAGCCATGGCATCCTGCACACGTTTCTTAGCTTCTCTGCCCTTCAGTTTCTTCACCTATAAAGTAAAGTGGGGGTTGGATGAATGAAAGGGTGGATGGGAAGAAGGGGGAGGAAGGAAAAGAGAACAAAGGAAATGGAGGAAGGAAGGAAAGAAGAAAGCAAAAGAGGGAGGGAGAGAGGGAGAAACAGAGAGGGAGGAAGGTTGAGGGAGAGAAGGAGGTAGATTAGATAGATGAAGAGGTGGATGATAGACAGACAAATGGGCTTCCTAGGTGGTGCTAGCAGTAAAGAACCCACTTGCCAATGCAGGAGACCCAGGAGACTTGAGTTCAATCCCTGGATTGGGAAAATTCCAACCCACTCCAGTATTCTTGCCTGGAGAATCCCATGGACAGAGGAGCCTGGTGGGCTACAGTCCACAAGGTAACAAAGAGTCAGACACGACTGAAACAACTTCATACACACACACACAGATGGATAGATAGATGGATGGATAGATATAGACAGACATAAACATGCAATACGTATCTGTAATAGTACATATACATATAAATATATACATATACAAGATTAAATAAAGAAAAATTTGTTTAGTGTTGAATATAGTGGCCACTGAAGTAGAAACATAAGTCTTTGTTCTCTCCCCATGTAATTTTTCCAAACCTCTCAAGTCCAACCGTTTGCATGCTCTACACTTGGGTAGCAGCACTGTGTCAGAGTGGAGAAGTTCCATGTGGCACCAGCTTGTCAAAGACCAGCCAAGGGCACCTTAGCCAGTCCCGTGATCAGGAGCAGCTGGCCTCCGCAGTGTTTAATTGCAGATCCTGAAGTCCCCCTTCGTGCCCGGGCTCTTAGGCTGACACACGTCTGAGGTCTGTGGACTGTCACAGATGGACAGGAACCTCATTCTTTCAGCCACCACGAACTGAAAGTGTGAGCCCTCCTGCATGGCAGCTGTGATGAAGTTCACTTCTCTGAAGAGCAGGTCTGCGACTCACTCACTCGTGTAAATCAATTACATGTGAAAGAGGGAGGTTTGCTTACTTAAGAGAAGAATTATGGGCAGGTCATTAGAAGCATTCATTCACACACAACGTACTAATTACAAATCATTATCTATTAACGAAGACCAATGTCTAGAGGATGTTTCCATGCTGAGCCTTAGTTAAATTAGCAGGGAATTACCGGGGCCACTCCAGAGTGATCAAAGTGTGCTTCTTCAGGCAGGTTCCGTCGTTCCCACCAGACCTTCCCTGCCCCCCACACACACACATCATTCCCTGTGGGTTTTGCGGATGCCTTTATGCAGCAACCCTGAGGGTGGTCCTTGCCCCATGCCTTATCCTCACTGTGGGAGGAAGGGACCCCAGAGGCATAGAAGCCAGGCCCCCACATGTACGTGCTAATTACTAGCCCATGAACACTCTTTGTTTCACTGTCCTTAAAGCCAAGGGGAAGGGAGAGAACTAATTCTAGACTTCTCCATGCTCTCAGAGGCTCCTGTAATCCCTTTAGCCGCTCGAGGCCGCCTTGCTCAGACAACAACATGCAGAGGACAAGAGTGGAAATACGGAGCACTTAGGCGGGCTGGAGGACATTGGTCAGTTCTGAAGACCCCTGCCCCCCAGCCAGAGGCTTCATAATCCCATGTTATCCTCGAGCCCCATCAATTTTTTAAAATTTATTTTTAATTGAAGGATAATCACTTTACACTATTGTTTGGATTCCCATCACATGAATTCTTAAATGAACCAAGTTAGGAAACATTTTGGTCCTTCAGAGTGTAGACCGTGGATCTCATGCCCGATGATCTGAGGTGGAACTGATGTAACAAAAATAGAAAAAAGTGTACAATAAATGTAAAGCATTTGAATCATCCTGAAACCATCCTTCCCCCAACAGCTGTCTGTGGAAAAGTTGTCTTCCATGTAATGGGTCCCTAGTGCCACAAAGTTTGGGGACTGTTGGCATAGATTATTTTGAATAGGTTCCTTCTATGGCTGTGGTACATCACTTAGGCAGGTGTGATGGGATGGCCCTATTGGCAAAAAGCCTCCATTCTCCAGAGAGGTATTGGCCACAGCCCTCTGAGCTGGCAGGAAGATGCCCAAGTGACCCAGAGACCTTGTACATCTTCACTTTCTCTTCATCTGGGATTACACCACCGAGGTGTGATAGAGAAAAATGCAGGGAAGATGAATAGAAACTATTTGCGTTCTGTGGAATCTAGTGTATACATCTGTAATTTAGAAAAGGTTAAGAGTCCCAGGGGCAGCAAAGAGATCAGAACAGTCAATCCTAAAGGAAATCAACCCTGAATATTCTTTGGAAGGACTGACACTGAAGCTGAAGCTCCAATACTTTGGCTACCTGATGCGAAGAGCCAACTCACTGGGGAAGACCCTGATGCTGGGAAACATTGAGGGCAGGAGAAGGAGGCAACAGAGGATGAGATGGTTGGATGGCATCACTGACTCAATGGACATGAGTTTGAGCACCCTCTGGGAGTTGGTGTTGGACAGGAAGCCTGGTGTGCTGCAGTCCATGGAGTCGCGAAGAGTCAGACACAGACTTAGCAACTGAACAACAACAACAGCTGGTAAAATGATTCAACTGTCTTGGAAGTTTGGGCTGCATCTCAAAAAATTAAACATAGAATTGCCATCAGATCCAACAATTCTACTTCTTGGTACATTTTTTGCTATTAATATTGGGCAATCACCAAGTTGTGTCCAAATCTTTTACGGCATTACCCGCCCCCGCCCCCCAGAAATTGAAAGTAGGGAGCCAAACAGATCTAGTGCTTCCATGTTCATAGCAGCATTATTCAAAAAGTAGAAACCACAATTGTCATCTATGGATGAATATGTAAGCAAACACAGAATCTCCATACAATATTAATTAGTCTTAAAGAGCAAGGAAGTTCTCTCACTTGCTGCAACATGGATTAACCTTGAGGACATTATATTAACCTATAACTTTGGGGAGGTTAAGTGAAAGAAGCCAAACACAAAAGGACAACTACTGTATTATTCCAATTTTATGAGGTATGTAGACTAGTCAAATTCACAGAGATGGAAAATAGCAATAGAATGGTGATTGCCATGAGCTAAGAAAAGGGGACATAGGGATTTATGCTGCATGGATATAAGTTTTTGTTTGCAGTGATGAAAACGTTTGGTTTTGACGGTGGCTCAGGCAACTTAAGTACTTGATGCCACCGAGTTATACAGAACATGATGAACATGGTAACTTTTATGTTATGTGTACTTTGCCAGAATAGTAATTTTATTAAAAGGTTACTTGGAATGACAGCACGTGGACTCAGGAGCCAACTCTGAAACAGAAAGTCAATCAGGGAAGTGCAGTCCTGGTGGCGACTGCATGGAGGACAGTCAGAGCCTTGACTTTGAGGGAGGGTCAAGGGCATCGGCCGTGGGGGTCAAGGGCGGGTCAAGGGCAGATGTGCTAACCCAGGTGGTTCTCCTTTCCTGGGCAGGTTTCAGCACAGCCAGCCCCACAGGAGCCCAGCAGAAAAGATTACGAGACCTACCAGCCGTTTCCGAATTCCACGAGAAACTACGACGAGTCCTTCTTCGAGGACCAGGTCCACCACCGCCCTCCCGCCAGCGAGTACACCATGCACCTGGGGCTGAAGTCCACCGGCAACTACGTCGATTTCTACTCGGCCGCCCGACCCTACAGCGAACTGAACTATGAAACGAGCCACTACCCGGCCTCCCCCGACTCCTGGGTGTGAGGCAGGCACCCTGGGAACCGTGCATGTGCATGCAGACCACAGACATTGCTATTTTTTTTTCCCCCCTGCAAATTTAGTTTGTTAAAGCCTGTTCCATAGGAAGGCTGGGATACCCAGGAAGGAAACATTTAAGAGCTATTTTAGAAAGCTCCACGAACGTTCACTTGAAAGTCAATAGAAAGTGATCCTCAATCTGACATCGGGCGACACCTTTCTAGTTCGGGCTGTAGAGTCTTAAAAAGTGCTTTCCGCGGGATGTGGCCGAAGGCAGCACGGGAGGCGGTCGGGGTGACGGGGCACGAATGTTATAAGCACAGAGGCGGTGACATAGTTCACACACTTCAGAGGGACGGCTTGTCACGCTTTCTTTACTCTCTTCATCCGTTGTGATTCTAGGCTTCAAGTTGCATTGGGGTTCCTCTCTACAGCAAGACGTTTCTTGCCTTTTGTTAATGCATTGTTGTAAAGTATTCGATGTACATTACAGATTAAAGAAGACAAGAGCATTGTGTATATTACACCAATGCCTCGGCGACTCCTCATCGATGGTTCTAAATATTGCTTCAATTTCAAACTTTTGAAAGATGTATGGATTTCCAGTTTTTCTTTTTTCTTCCTCCCAGTAAAGTTTTAACAGGGAAAAAAAAATGGGAAAAAAAGGAATATTTAGCAGTATTGTTCGTTCTGATATGTGAATTTGTTTGTGGCAACTAAACAAGGCATTCAGCAGTTTCTGACAATTAACATCCATCATTCCACACTCCTTGTCAACAAAGTGCTTTTTCACTGCCTAAAATTTTAGATGTAGATATTTGAAATAGATTTTTTCATTTATACCAGTTTTCTTTATGATGATACAGTGTTAAAAGAAAATAAATTACAATTGATCTGTCATCCATATTTGCTAAGAATGTCTATTTCCAAGGACCTATCTGACAAAAATACGCATTCTTGCTTGTGTGTCTGTGCGTGTGTGGGTGTGTGTCCATGTATGTACAAAAATGACCCATGTGAGATTTTATTTTGATAGAAGCAATTTCATTTGCTATTCATCTTGTACAAACTTTGTTTTTGCTTTTTAGTATAAATGTACATCGGTTTGTTCCTTTTGTACTCTATCTCTCTGACCATCTAGTGACTCAGGATATTAGGCCAGTGGAAGTAAAGTTATAGGATTTTCACATAGTCACACGTTCTTGGATACCAAGCCTTTCTACGGGCCCATTTCCTTTCATGTTTAATGCCCTCAGAACATGATAAAACCATGGCCAACTCAATAATTTCACTTTGAGGCCAATTACTTGAAATATCCACAGATAATGTAAACTGCTCACCTTATTCACCCCCAACACTTTTTTGTTCCTGTGGCAGGGAGCAGTAGACAATTACAGATTTAGATGATTAAAAGCGAACTTGAAGCTAATGGTAGAATAGTGGTTAACAGAGCTAAGAAGTTAAGGCTAACCATTCAAAAGGACACGGGCTGGGGGTAACTTAGCTTTGCTCTTTAGATGCAAGTGACTGAGGCCAATAGGTGCCTAGTAAATGTTAACTGTTCTTGAAAAAATAAAACATTAAATAACAAAAGAAATTGGCTGCCATCTTCCTTTAAAACTTTCTCCCCTTCGCTTCTACATAGTTTAATTCAGCTCAGAGTCTAAAATTCACGGTTCTTTCTCCAAATTTAATAGCAACCAAAAGATTTCTTGTTCGTGCATAGTTGTGCAAACGCAAAACTCATTTCCAGGACAGAGCAGGAGACAGACATTTTCGTATCAATTGTCCTACAGTTACTCACAAGTTGGACCTTCTTGTATTATTTACTATAGGAAAACACATTTTTTAGTCCCTTCCCAGGAAGGCTCCAGCCCCTGTGCAAGTGAAAGTTTAGTCGCTCAGTCGTGTCCTACTCTTTGCGATCCCATGGACTGTAGCCTACCAGGCACCTCTGTCCACGGGATTTTCCAGGGAAGAGTGCTGGAGAGGATTGCCATTTCCTTTTCCAGAGGATCTTCCCGACCCAGGGGTCGAACCCCGGGTCTCCCACATTGCAGACAGACACTTAACCGTCTGAGCCACCAGGGGGGTCCTCAGCCCCTGTAGAGAGAGGGAAATATGTAGCTTCAAGGACAGAGTTTCCATTCCATTCCTGTCATAGAATGAAATGGTAAAGCTCATCAAGGCAGAGACGAGGTGTAGACGTGATCTGTGCATGACTGAATAGCTGGTTTAGCTTCTCCAAAAGGAATCAGTAGGACTCATCCCCAGGCTTGAGTTGTGCAGGGAGAAGTTAATGTGTGTCCCAGAGCCCTTATCCTAGCAGGAGCTGTGTATTTCCTGTGACTCTGAGTGTGCAGTCCAGCACTGGCAACCTTTGAAGACAGGTGTCTCTGCTGCCTGTGGTTCTATGAGAGCACCTTGCACCAGGTTGACGTGAAAGGATTCAGCTAGAAGCCTCCAGAGCCAGAGTTAGAGCTAGGAGAAAGTCAATTCAAAATGTCCATAGTTACTCAGGTTGCATTCTTTTCATCATTTTCTCACACTCACACAAACACAGGGAGAGAAAGAAAGGACAGATGATGATAGATTATAGGTAGAAAGAGGAATAGAGGGATAGACAGATGATAGATCGATAGATGATAGACAGATGAGGTTTTATCTGAAGTGTGACGTCGCCAGAGCCCGTCCTCTTTGGCAATAAAGGTTGATCTGCAGATGATTTACTATTAATAACATGGGTGTGTTGGGCAAAAGTCCAAAGTGGCAAGAAACATTGCTTTTGCTTTCATTGTGCTGAAGTGACCGAGTGTGACCCTACCCCCATAAGTGTCTGCCTCTTGGGTCAACAAGAGCCTCCAGACCTTGGAATGTCTACTGAAAGGGGACTGGTGTCTTTCAGAGGAAAAGAGACCAAAAAAAGGAGATAGAAATTTCCTTTCAGTCCTTCTGGTGGACCATATATATACCCAATACATTCAATAGAATGTGAAATCAAAATACTATATATGGAAAAAATTTTTTTTCATTTGAGAGCTTTGATCACCAGGGCCTAATAGAACACTTAATGTGTGTGTGTGTGCTAAGTCGCTTCAGTTATGTCTGCCTCTTTGCAATCCCATGAACTATAGCCTGCCAGGTTCCACTGTCCATGGAATTTTCCAGGCGAGAGTACTGGAGTGGGTCGCCAGCCATTCCCTCCTCCAGGGGATCTTCCCAACCCAGGGACTGAGCCCACATCTCTTGTGTCTCTGGCATTGGTAGGTGGGTTCTTCACCACGAGCACCAACTATAAAATATCTTAATATTTTCATAGGAGTAGGACCACTTTAAGGAACACTTAAACTCTACCCCTATGAAAATGGTAAGATTTTTATACTGATTCAATTTTAACACCATGATTAACTATTTCAGTCCTCATTGTCAATCATGAGTTAGACAACAAAATATCAGACAGGTTTAGGAGAATGAGGATGACCCAAGATGTCACTTCATACTTGATGATAAGATTAACCAGTAACAATCCAATTTTTGTTAATAAGACTCAGACATTATGGAAAAAGGCTATGAAAAAATGAAAGTCCTTAAGTTCATATATATATATAATGTTCTTATTTAGTGGTTAAGTCATGTCTGACTCTTTGCCACCCCATGGATTTTAGCCCACCATGCTCCTCTGTCCATGGGATTTCCCAGGCAAGAATACTGGAGTAGGTAACCATTTTCTTCTCCAGGGAATCTTCCTGACCCAGGAAACGATCCCACATCTGCTGCACTGGCAGGTGGATTCTTTACCACTGGGCCACCAGGGAAACCCTCATATAATGTATATATGCATGTATAAATTTATTTGGTCTATTTCTCTTACTTTAGCTATTCTTCAGTGACTGATGCTTTCTCCCTGTATCTGAGAGCTATGCCCCTGAGAAATGAGGTTTGACTATATGAAGACATGGTGTTTTCACTCAGGAAATTTGCAGCCAGGGCTGGGCTCCCTGAGGACAAGTCAGCTCTGCTCCACTCAGAATCAGCCACTGAAGCTCAGAGACTGGAAGCTGGACTTACTTAACACCTCAATCATGTAAATGCCCTGTTCTTGGGCCTGAGTAGCTGAGGGCCAGGAAGGCTGCAGCCCCGCAGACACCCCTGGGCTTCTCAGGTGGGTCAGCAGTGAAGAATCCATCTGCCAGTGCAAGAGATGCAGGAGACATGGGTTCGATCCCTGGGTCCGGAAGATCCCCTGACGGAGGATATGGCAACCCACTCCAGTATTCTCGCCTGGAAAATTCCATGGACAGAGGAGCCTGGAGGGCTACAGTCCGTGGGGTCGCAAGGAGTCAGACACGACTGAGCGACGAAGCAGGCACGCACACAGTCATCCTGTGAGGTCTCTCCACGTGCACTGTCCAGAGGAGATGCTTTAGAAATGCCTTCACAGGTCATCTCAAGGTTCCCAAAGTGTATGTCCCAAAATAAAGAACCAGGCACAAAAGTCAAGAGGGATTCCACTAGTCAATGCAATTGCAAAATATTGCTCAGTTCCAGGGGGACAAGGGTGGAAATAGGCCCCATATCTTGGGGGAGAAGGGGAGCAGTGGTGGCAAGATTATGGAAGAGGTTGTAGCTCTGCAAATACCACACCACTGTTGTCTTTCTGATACAGTCTACCAGCCTACTATAAAACTGGTAACATTTTGCTTTAATAAATTCATCTTCTTTAATGTGTAGCCAATATTTCTTAATAATGGCAAAAGCAATGTCTTCTTATAAGAAGTAAAAACCAAATAATATAGCTAAGAAAAATGGGAGAAAAATTCATACACTTACATCAGAAGGACAGGTCTTGGGTTTGTGTTTCTGTTCAGCTGAATACAATCATGGAGTTGTGGTTCCTGGCAGCCAGAAGACAACCACCATGGGACCAGAATAAATTGAAGTCAAAGCTGAGGACAGCAGATTAGAGAGATTGAAAGAATTGGGCTCTTCTCTGAAATCACTTGAAG